CTGTTTTAGAGAGAGAAGATAAAATTTGAATGCATTTATAACTGCTGTAAAGAAGATGGGAAGTAATTTCTTTATATTTTGTCTTTCTTCTCTTTTTTCCTATTTCTCTCCTTTCTCTTTCTTTATTCTTGCCTCCCCACTTTTTTTTTTTTTACTTCCCTTCATTTCCCTTTTCTTTTACATGTCTTTATTCTGTAAAAATTCCTTGAATAAAAATTCATAATAAAACAGAAGCAGCCACCCACTACAAGTGTGCCCTGCTGGGTGACTGCAGTGACTTCTGCAGCATCAATGCTGAGGTCAAATTCAAAACTGGTGCACCGCCAGCGTACAGAGGGAGAACGGAGTCTCTCTGAGCAGGAATCAGACCCTGGGAATCAGAGAGATCAGGCCTGCAAAAAATGCAGATGGAAGGCAAGAGGTAGTTTTCTGCACCCCTTTGCTCCCATTTAGTGGTTATCTGGATCACTGCAGTCCACCTCTGATAGCCCTACCAGGAACTTCTGTATAACACATTATTGTCACCAGCGGACACAGCCAACAATGACGAGCAACATAAGTTTCAGTCTACTTTCAAGTGGGAGGAAGGTAGCATTCCATCCAGAGTTGCCGTAGCCCCTTCTTCAGGTCTATAATTTCTTCTCTTCCCTTGCTAGAACACCCCCTCTAATAACCACACTGGTTTGCTGATTCATAGGCTGTGGTTTTTGTAGCTCCTAAAAGCTCTGAGAAACTGTTGATTAACCTTCCTGGGTTATTATTAACTCTATGGGGGCTTGTGTATAGGAGCTCCTGTTCTCCCTGGAATGTTTTTGTCTTTGTGGGTTGGCAAAAGCATTGGTCATCAGTTTCGGCAAAGTCCTCTCCCCACCCCCAGCCCCCACCCCCGACTCTCTCTTTGCCCATAGCTTGGGAGAAAATAAATGGTGGTGGGTCTTTTTGCCTTATCAGAAGATAACAGGGGCTGGGCTTCTTTTGACATGGCAAGGTTGCTGACAGGAAACCATTTATATATAAGGCATCAGAGTGAGGACATATAGGTTAGTCACTCACGCCCTGGTCACCTCGTGATTAGACTACTGCAATGTACTCTACATGGGGCTGCCCTTGAAGATCATCTGGAAACTACAGCTGGTTCAAAATGCAGCAGCACAAGCAGTAATGGGCACTTCTCGTTGTGCCCATGCGTCACCACTGCTATGTGAACTGCATTGGCTGCCAGTTAGCTTCCAGGTGCAATTCAAGGTGCTGATTGTTATCTTTTTTTCTCTATTATTAAAACCGTTCATGGCCTAGGACCTCGTTACCTGAAGGACCGCCTCTCTCATTGTTTCTGCATGCTCAGTGTGTTCAGGCAGAGTGGGTGCACTGCAGGTCCCTTCTATGGAATGCTGTCATCTTACAGGACCGAGCAAGCATGTCTTCTCTGCCGTGGACCCCACCCTCTGGAACAGCATCCCGCAGAGATACTGTCTGTGCCCTCTCCCCTAGGGTTCTGGAAAGCTCTTTAAACCTGGCCTTGGTCCCAAGCCTGGGCTTAATGTGTTTGGGGGTGGAGCAGCTGCTGTGCTTGGCTTTAATGCTCGTGTTCAGTCTGAGCTCTCTCGTTTCATTTTCTCTTTATTTTTAGTTGGTTTCATTATTATTTTATTTTGTAAGCCGCCCAGAGTCCACTGGAGTAGACAGCTATATTAAATCTAATAAATAATAATAATAGAGGAAAAAGCTGAATATCTCAAGAAAGCGAACGGAAGAGAAATAGCCAGCCAAGGGTCTTGCTTTCTCTAAAACCATGAGGACTATACAGTATACTTGTGATGTGAGTATAATCCAC